TTCAGGTCAGAAAAGTTCGCCAATAAGCCTCTCCGGACAAGATGGAGAAGTAGAAAGCCAAAACTTTTCTTTCCCAAAAATTAATCTGTCCCAAAAACATAGTCTTTCAATTAAAAAAATATATATAAAGTGCAAATGACAAACGGTTGATGGTAGAATTAATTTTTCATCTTGACCACCATATTTCAGGTCAGAAAAGTTCGCCAATAAGCCTCTCCGGACACGACGCCATGGTCGACCTGCAGCAAGCATCGATCTTCAAAGAACCTTTCTTCATCGTTTTACTCGACTGCACCGACCAAAACACGATCATACACATGTGGAAGTTGACGATCGCTTCAACCGACACCGAATGCGCTTTGACGGGCAGCCAAATGTACGTGCCCGACTGCATCCTGGTGCAGGACGAGAACGACCTCTCGAGGAAGAACAGCATGGAATCGTTGCATCTGAAACCGTCGAAAGTGAGTCCGCACATCAACTTGACCGTGACGAGAGAAGTGAAGCAAGTGCTCCCTCTGCCGGACGGAATCGAAATCGTGCACGCGACCCCAGCAGCAGGACATTTGAGTTCCGCTTCGATATATCCAGCCTGTTTGGCACCATACTGTTTCGCTACGGCGTGCAGCGACGGAATCATCAGGTTCTGGACCGTTTCGACCAATTCGAAGCAAGTGAAGGAGTTCAGTCACTTGTTGTTGGAAGAGGATGGGGAAATCGTCAACACTGGTCAAATTTGGACGGAGTGGAACATGATCAAGGAATCGGCCATCGAAATTGAAGGCCAGGTAATAATTATTTCAAACTTTACATCTATCGGACTAGTTAGCAACTTGAGCTGAAGTAAAATTGTTCAGAGATAACCATAAATAACAAAATAAAAATGGGATGAATATCAGGACATAGGCGGGAGTGCAACATATATCTTTTGAAAATTGAATTAGTTTGTAAAAAGCAAGAGGAGTATATTGTTGAAAAAGAAAATTAATGATCTGAGTATAAAATATAAATTCATGTGGCCAAATACTCGTTCAATGAATAGAGTGCCTCATCTTTCAGATTAGTACAAGTTCTTCAGTTGGGCAAGTGTTTCTTATCCATGTGATAACTGCATAAACTAAATATAACATTGTATTTGTCGATACCTATAAGAGTTCTGACCTAGGGCCATTCTTGTGTATGACTTCTCTGTTTCGGGTGTTGTACCCCATGTTAGGGGATGTACTACCATAATACATCTCATTACACTTTCTTGAATAACAAAAAATGGTTCTTCAATATGTGCTGAGAATTCCCAGAATATAACAATACCATGATAATTTCCATTGTATAAGAGTAAAATATTCCTTTTTCAACACATCTCGACTGAACATAATTTCAGAAAGCTGTGTCATTATGTCACATGGATTGAGAAAATCCAAATCAACTACAACATCAACAACAGAAACATATTAAGGAATTAGACATAAAAAGATGTCCAATTGGAATATACTGTGATCTGAGCAAAGCGTTTAATTGTGTTCCACACGATCGATTGTTAGAAAAGCTTTGGATTTATGGGATCAGAGGAAATACACATCAATGGTTTCGGTCTTATCTTGGTGGTAGAAAACAATATGTACAGATATTTTACATTTGAGGGATGATGGACAAAACAGCATACACTGCTCAGATTTGATATTGGTAAACATAGGGGCACCGCAGGGAAGTGTCCTTGCACTTATATTGTTCACTTGATATATATCAGATATTGTTAAATACTTAGATGAATACAAACTAACACTTTACGCAGATGATCTATCGTTCCTAGTAGCAAAAGACTCCTTAGAAGCCATCCAACAAAACTGTAACAATTTAATGACAAGAATTATACTTTGTTTCTCAACAAACAAATTATATGTCAATTCTGGTTGAAAACATTTTTCAATATTTCACTCTAGACAAAAGAGGATTGAAAACATAGAAATTGAAATGGATGAAGAAATTTATTTCAGCTAATTGGATGCTTTCATTCAATAACATATATTTTAATTTACTTACTCTATTTTTAAAATTGTCAGTTTCAAATGTGAAATGTCTACCTATATGTAATTTGTGACGTGTTTTATATCACTTTCACTGTAATCTGTAAAACCAATGAATAAATTGAATTGAATTGAGTTGGCATAAAATGTCTTCTGATGGTCTAAGTCTCTTCATATGATGATTCAGACGCCAGAGAGGATCAGAGGACCTTTAGCAACACCGGAGTATACCTGATCCCTTGTAGTTGTGGATTGGTTCACATGGCAAAAAGAAGTGAAAAGGCAACCACTCAGAGCTATCCAAGACTACTCAGGGGGGGTGACAGATATCAAAATTAGTTGACATGCATTAAGTTTTGCTACCTGCACGAAACTGTAAACATATTGTGCTACTTAATGCTACTTTCACCATCGAAGGAATATAGCCATAATATATGTTGTGGGGATAACTGCAGCACTACGTCCATTACCTTATTGCCTTTAGTAATGTCTTAGTCAGTTGTATAAGGATCGTCAGCCGTAGAAACCTGCAGACCACAGTCAATAAACTCAGAAAAAAACTTTGACTCAGTTATCACTGAGGTTATCTCCAACCGTGAAAGTTTACACTTTTTGTATAAGGCAGTCTGTTTTGTGGTATCGGAAACATGCCCAATGCTGAATTTCCATGGTCGGTAAGAGTGTAGTACAGATGGCACTGAAGATAGCCAGGCAAGCCTGTCTCTGTAAACTGAAAAACTTGGCCTGATCCACTTGCCATAAAGCTTTCAGCCCCATTGGCCTGACGATCATCATCAAGTATATCTAGTGGATTCATTTATGCCCTAAGCCCCCAATATTTTTCACAAATCTTTCGAAATACTTATAGGGATTGTCTGGCTTTGTGTAAAACATTTTCCAAGTGAGCGTTTTGGACGAGTTTTTTTTATCTAGGACGATACTTAGATATTTCACAGCTGTTGACAATGGAATAACCTCCCTTTGAAGGAAAGTGGAGTTCAATTGTTCACATTTCTCTTTCTGGTAAAGAGGACCATTACAGTTTAGCTGGGTTACAGACATCTGCCAACCTTCTTTGGAAGATATTATAGGCTACTCTTGCCGACGAGGTTCTTGCCAAGTTAATAAGGTCGTCTGCATATGCTTGTAAATTTTTTCCAAGGACACTGAGCAAATTGTCCATCAGGAGTAACCACAGCAGGAGATAGTTTTCTGCCTTGAGGGCAACCCCTGGTGACCTTGAATATAATGGCCTCATTTTGAAGATTCGTACTAGCAGTTTTGTAAATGGAAATGTTACCTTCAAGTCATTCTGAATACATATATAGCAACCTTCTATACATATATTGCGACTTGTTTCAACATATTTTGTGTCGATAAATTTCATTATAGTATACAGGGCTTGTCATGATGAGCGTTAATTAGCCGTTTCTGGCAAACTATTCAACGGATCAACCTGAAAATTCCACAGTATGCATAAGTCAATATGACCTACACGCCTAAA